ACAACTCAGAACCTTGTATGGCAAACCATTCTGCTTAGTAGAGCGATTTCATTGAAGGGAGGGGATACTACATATATAGTCTTTTGATTGACAAGCCCGTATGTAGTGGCTTCATAAGTTGACAATGTTGCATCGACCTACTCATGTGACCAGTTTCTCTGTTTAAAGCATAGTATAACTAAGAATCTATCTTTACAATATAATATCTCAATAATGTTGTATAACCAAAAATCTACTTCTGTGACACATAATACAAACTTTTTTAAAACATAAATTAAATACACACAGATATTAGAATATATATAATTTCATACTAATTATATTTTGGTTCACTTCTGACTCCCATGACACCCTACACCAGAGATCTTTTAACCAGCTATGCCTATCTATAGAAATTTCATAAATACTGAGCTTCCAGCTAGTTAACTTAACTCCAAATACTCTGACATTTTTCTTGCTCAGCTATAACTGAAGAATTCAACACTATCACTTGTTCAAGACTAGAGATGAGCGAATCGAACTTGGCGAAGTGGAATTCGTTTCGAATATTAGGAAAAATTCGATTTTTCCAAAAATGGCGGCGACATGTGTGGCGACGGAACGGGGATCTCTGGGAAGGCGCGCAGACAAGGCGCGCTGACCCATAATGCATTCATTCATGACATGTGATCGCATTAGCCAATCAGCAGCCAGCCAGCCAGCACTGTGTAATGGTGGAGCTATAAATTGCGGCCATCTTACAATTCTCCATTTGACTCCGGTCATTCAAGAGAGACAGACCTCTCTGTATTAGGGACAGAGTTAGGGCCACAGATACTTTAGGGACACAGAATCGTTACTTAGGGACACAGAATTGTTACTCAGGGACACCGAATTGTTACTCAGGGACACAGAACTGTTACTCAGGGACACAGAATTGTTACTCAGGGACAGACACAGAATTGTTACTGAGGGACACAGAATTGTTACTGAGGGACACAGAATTGTTACTCAGGGACACAGAACTGTTACTCAGGGACACAGAACTGTTACTCAGGGACAGACACAGAATTGTTACTGAGGGACACAGAATTGTTACTGAGGGACACAGAATTGTTACTGAGGGACACAGAACTGTTACTCAGGGACAGACACAGAATTGTTACTGAGGGACACAGAACTGTTACTCAGGGACACAGAACTGTTACTCAGGGACACAGAACTGTTACTCAGGGACACAGAATTGTTACTCAGGGACAGACACAGAATTGTTACTGAGGGACACAGAATTGTTACTGAGGGACACAGAATTGTTACTGAGGGACAAAGAATTGTTACTCAGGGACAGACACAGAATTGTTACTGAGGGACACAGAATTGTTACTGAGGGACACAGAATTGTTACTCAGGGACACAGAATTGTTACGCAGGGACACAGAACTGTTACTCAGGGACACAGAATTGTTACTCAGGGACACAGAACTGTTACTCAGGGACACAGAATCGTTACTCAGGGACACAGAATCGTTGAATTAAAGAGTATGTCAGACAACACGCAGAGGAGTGTCAGAGGAGGCCATGTTTTAGGAGCGAGCAGACGTGGCAGCAGAGGAAGGGGTCGAGGCAGCACTAGTCGCAGCCAGAGGCCAGTGCTCCCGGTGTCATCCAGTGGTCGTGTCTCCACCGACAACCCTGCCGTCATCGATTGGTTGGCTCGGTCGTCTTCCTCTTCCCAGGTCACCTCTGACACCTACAGCCAACGGTCGGTGGGTACGTCAGACACAACCGTTAGTTGGCATGGCCCGGGAGCAAGCCCACTGAAATCACGTGTCCTCTACCTGCCCCTGTCCTTTGGTGTTCCCTCACCAAGCGAAGTATCGCATGCTGTGGGCTCAGCCCCACTGTACAGTGAGGAAGAGCTAACAGAGGGCGGTCAGGAACGGGGGGAGACATCCGCCTCTTCAGCAGCCAGGCGAAGAAGTACTGGCGAGGAGAGTGGCTCGGTAGCCGGTCTAGAGACAGGTCTGTCTCCTGACCCACACGCAGCCGAGGGGGCTAGTAGTGAGGCGGAGACCCTAATTGATGATGATGAGGCTGATCGCACTTGGCAGCCTCGTCGTCATCAGGCTATTTCTTCCGCATCATCAGGAGAAGAGGGTGCCAGCTTGGCAGCGAGCAAAACAGTCGGTGGGTTGCCCAGGAGGCAGCAGGGTCGCAGCAGTGTCAGTGGAGGCAAACGACCACGGAGTAGAGCACCAGCTCCACTGCAGCCTACCACCACGGCCAGTAGTGGTGCCGGTGTGTGCACGGAGGAAGTAGCAGTCAGCCAGTGAGGAGTAGCGGGGGCAAAGTTTCCTACTCGGCGGTGTGGGCAATTTTTCGTCAAGCCGCCCGAGGAAGTAAACGTAGCCGTATGTCGACTATGTGGCCAGAAAGTCAAGCGTGGCCAGGGGGACCATGTTGGGACTACAGCGTTGCGTCAGCATATGCAGCGTCGCCATTTCGTGGCCTGGGAAAACCGTGATAAAGATACGGCGGTTCTGCCTGCCCCAGCCCCCGCTCCATCACCCGCTCCCCTGTTACTTGCTCCGCCACCCGACGTCAATCGCCCTCTATCAGCCATCAAAGGCTCCAACACCTCTGCTGAGGGGAGTTGTCGCTCGTTGGCATCTTCCGCTCGTTCAGATGCTCCTTCTCCTGCTACTCCTCTTCACAGATTCCGTCAGCAGTCTTTCTTGGAATCCGTTTCCAAAGAGACAACAGTTTCGAGCACGCACCCGACGGTGCAGAAGCTGAACGTCCTCCTGTCCAAGTTGCTGGTGCTGCAGTCCCCCCTCCCTTTCCAAGTGGTGGACTCAGCACCTTTCCGAGAAATGATGGCTTGTGCCGAGCCGCGGTGGAGAGTGCCAAGCCGGCATTTCTTCGCCAAAAAGGCAGTGCCAGCCCTGCATTCACATGTAGAAGAGATGGTGGGCCAGTCTTTGAGCATGTCGGTCTCTGCCAAAGTGCACGGCAGCGCCGACGTGTGGAGCTGTAACTACGGTCAGGGACAGTACATGTCATTTACGGCCCCACTGGGTGAACGTGGTGCCGGCACAGCCGCACCAGCAACTTGGACAGGTCACGGCGCTTTTGCCTCCACGTTTGCACGTCCTTGGTCCACAAAAGATGTCCGCCTCTACCACCTCTTCTTCCGCCATGTCCTCAGCCGCCACCCCCATGTGCCAAGTCCCATTACCCGACCCGGCATATCACATGTGCAGGGCGCAACGGTGTCACGCTGTGCTGCACCTGGTATGCCTTGGCGAACGTAGTCACACAGGGGAGGAACTTCTGAGTGTAATGAACAGAGAAATCACAGATGGCTGTCTCCGCGCAAACTGAAAATCGGAAACCATGTTGACCGACAACGGAAAGAACATGGTGTCTGCTCTGCGTCAAGGAAGGTTGTGCCATGCGCCATGCATGGCTCACGTGTTCAATCTGGTTGTCAAGCGGTTCCTAAAATCCACCATCCCACTGCAAGACATCCTTAAAATGTCACGTAAACTTTTTGCATGCATTTCAGCCATTCCTACAGGGCTCGCCACCGCAAAGCACACCCTCCTTGAGCTGCAGCGGGCAGAACGGAATTCCACAGCATCGCCTGATCTGCGACGTTGCAACAAGGTGGAATTCAACCCTACACATGTTAGACCGCCTTTACGAACAGCGAAAGGCCATCACCGATTTCCTGATGTTACAAGCGGATAAAGGTACTCCCCTGTGTAACTTCGATGTCAGCCATTGGCAGCTCATGCGTGACACCTGCCGCTTGCTCAGGCCCTTTGAGGAGGCCACGCTATTCGTGAGTCGGCAGGACTATGGGATGAACGACGTCATTCCTCTGTTGCACGTCCTGGAACAAATGCTGTTAACAATGGCTGGTCAGGGTGCGGTAGACGTGGCGCACAGATCTCAACGCCACATGACCCCTGTGGGGGCAGGACAGGAAGAAGAGGAGGAGGTAGAGGAGGACATTGGTGCTCAGGAATTATTGAGTGAAATGGGTGGTTTTTCCACTCAGCGGACAGGAGTGGAGGAGCAGGAGCATCTGGTAGAGGAGGAGGAGGAGGAGACAGAGGACCCAGACGCACCGTGGCAGTATGCTGTGGAGATGGAGGCAGGGAGTCCCTCGCATTCCTTGGCACAAATGGCCCATAGCATGCTCGGTTGCTTGCGTAGCGACAGCCGAATAATAACCATCAGACAGAGGGATGACTTTTGGCTGTCCACCTTGTTGGACCCTCGCTACCGTTCAAAAATGGTGGCCTTTTTCACACCTGCTGAGAGGGAGGCCAAAATAACGTACTATAAAAACCACCTATGTAGTCAGTTGGTCTCTGCCTTTCTGCGCCAACGTCCATCCTCAGACACTGTGGGCCCTGTGCGCTCGCGTTCCGCTGCCATGGCAGCAGGGGAGGGGTGGGGTGGTAGGAGCAGTGGCAGCTCCACCAGCAGCGGCTGCCTCAGTCTGCAGTCGATGATGAGTAGCTTTCTTCACCAGCGCAGTGAGGAAACTACTAACCAGCCGCAGCAGCAGCATCAGCATCAGTGGACCTGGAGCAGGACCTCAAACAACAGGCTTGGGCCTACTTGGACAGCACCCTGCCAACCAACCGAGGTAGACAATCCCCTTGACTACTGGGCAACGAAACTTGACCTTTGGCCCCAACTAGCTGAATTTGCCCTTGAAAGGCTGTCATGCCCGGCCAGTAGCGTGGCATCGGAGCGCGTGTTTAGTGCGGCAGGAGGTATTGTAACTCCGCGGAGGACACGACTGTCCACCCAAAGTGTGGAGAGACTCACGTTTGTGAAAATGAATCAGGCGTGGATTAGTCTGGATTTCAAACCACCAGTTCCTGACACAACTGACTAAATCCGCCATGAATCATGCCCCAAACATGTGCCACTTTCAGGTCTCCTCACACTGCTGGTGTGTTCCCTTTTGTCATAGGGTGCTGGCAGATTACGGGGCCTCCCATAGCTGCTGCCAGGCCCCTAATCTGCCATGGGCCCCTGTACCGCCTCCTCATGCTCTGTGCTGCTGGGTCCCTGTAGGTCCACAGTGTCTCATGCCATGTGCCACTTTCAGGTCTCCTCACACTGCTGGTGTGTTCCATTTTTTTGTCATAGGGTGCTGGCAGATTACGGCCTCCCATAGCTGCTGCCAGGCCCCTAATCTGCCATGGCCCCCCTACCGCCTCCTCATGCTGCTGCCAGGTCCACAGTGTCTCATGCCATGTGCCACTTTCAGGTCTCCTCACACTGCTGGTGTGTTTCCATTTTTTGTCATAGGGTGCTGGCAGATTACGGGCCTCCCATAGCTGCTGCCAGGCCCCTAATCTGCCATGGGCCCCTATACCGCCTCCTCATGCTGCTGCCAGGTCCAGAGTCTCTCATGGGTCCCTGTACGGCCTCCCATTGCTGCTGTCTCCATCGCCACACTCTGCCATGTGCCACTTTCAGGTCTCCTCACACTGCTGCTGGTGTGTTCCATTTTTTGTCATAGGGTGCTGGCAGATTACGGGCCTCCCATAGCTGCTGCCAGGCCCCTAATCTGCCATGGGCCCCTGTACCGCCTCCTCATTGCTGCTGCCAGGTCCACAGTGTCTCATGCCACACTGCCACTTTCAGGTCTCCTCACACTGCTGGTGTGTTCCATTTTTTGTCATAGGGTGCTGGCAGATTACGGGCCTCCCATAGCTGCTGCCAGGCCCCTAATCTGCCATGGGCCCCTATACCCGCCTCCTCACCGCCTCCTCATCATGCTGCTGCCAGGTCCAGAGTCTCTCATGGGTCCCTGTACGGCCTCCCATTGCTGCTGTCTCCATCGCCACACTCTGCCCATGTGCCACTTTCAGGTCTCCTCACACACTGCTGGTGTGTTTCCATTTTTTGTCATAGGGTGCTGGCAGATTACGGGCCCTCCCATAGCTGCTGCCAGGCCCCTAATCTGCCATGGGCCCCTATACCGCCTCCTCATGCTGCTGCCAAGTCCAGAGTCTCTCATGGGTCCCTGTACGGCCTCCCATTGCTGCTGTCTCCATCGCCACACTCTGCCATGTGCCACTTTCAGGTCTCCTCACACTGCTGGTGTGTTCCATTTTTTGTCATAGGGTGCTGGCAGATTACGGGCCTCCCATAGCTGCTGCCAGGCCCCTAATCTGCCATGGGCCCCTGTACCCGCCGCCTCAGGTCATGCTGCATGCCAGGTCCACAGTGTCTCATGCCATGTGCCACTTTCAGGTCTCCTCACACTGCTGGTGTGTTCCATTTTTTGTCATAGGGTGCTGGCAGATTACGGGCCTCCCATAGCTGCTGCCAGGCCCCTAATCTGCCATGGGCCCCTGTACCGCCTCCTCATGCTGCTGCCAGGTCCATGGGTCCCTGTACGGCAGCTGCTGTCTCCATCGCCATGTGTGCCACTTTCAGGTCTCCTCACACTGCTGGTGTGTTCCATTTTTTGTCATAGGGTGCTGGCAGATTACGGGCCTCCCATAGCTGCTGCCAGGCCCCTAATCTGCCATGGGCCCCTATACCGCCTCCTCATGCTGCTGCCAGTCCAGAGTCTCTCATGGGTCCCTGTACGGCCTCCCATTGCTGCTGTCTCCATCGCCACACTCTGCCATGTGCCACTTTCAGGTCTCCTCACACTGCTGGTGTGTTTCCATTTTTTGTCATAGGGTGCTGGCAGATTACGGGCCTCCCATAGCTGCTGCCAGGCCCCTAATCTGCCATGGGCCCCTATACCGCCTCCTCATGCTGCTGCCAGGTCCAGAGTCTCTCATGGGTCCCTGTACGGCCTCCCATTGCTGCTGTCTCCATCGCCACACTCTGCCATGTGCCACTTTCAGGTCTCCTCACACTGCTGGTGTGTTACATTTTTTGTCATAGGGTGCTGGCAGATTACGGGCCTCCCATTGCTGCTGCCAGGCCCCGTAATCTGCCATGGGCCCCCGTACCGACTCCTCATGCTGTGACTTGCAACAAGGTGGAATTCAACCCTACATATGTTAGACCGCCTTTACGAACAGCGAAAGGCCATCACAGATTCCTGATGTTACAAGCGGATAAAGGTACTCCCTGTGTAACTTAGATGTCAGCCATTGGCAGCTCATGCGTGACACCTGCGCTTGCTCAGGCCCTTTGAGGAGGCCACGCTATTCGTGAGTCGGCAGGACTATGGGATGAACGACGTCATTCCTCTGTTGCACGTCCTCCTCAAATGCTGTTAACAATGGCTGGTCAGGGTGCGGTAGACGTGGCGCACAGATCTCAACGCCACATGACCCCTGTGGGGGCAGGACAGGAAGAAGAGGAGGAGATAGAGGAGGACATTGGTGCTCAGGAATTATTGAGTGAAATGGGTGGTTTTTCCACTCAGCGGACAGGAGTGGAGGAGCAGGAGCATCTGGTAGAGGAGTAGGAGGAGGAGACAGAGGACCCAGACGCACCGTGGCAGTATGCTGTGGAGATGGAGGCAGGGAGTCCCTCGCATTCCTTGGCACAAATGGCCCATAGCATGCTCGCTTGCTTGCGTAGCGACAGCCGAATGGGCCCCTGTACGTGCCACCCATTGCTGCCATGTCTCCAACCATCAGACAGAGGGATGACTTTTGGCTGTCCACCTTGTTGGACCCTCGCTACCGTTCAAAAATGGTGGCCTTTTTCACACCTGCTGAGAGGGAGGCCAAAATAACGTACTATAAAAACCACCTATGTAGTCAGCTGGTCTCTGCTTTTCTGCGCCAACGTCCATCCTCAGACACTGTGGGCCCTGTGCGCTCGCGTTCCGCTGCCATGGCAGCAGGGGAGGGGTGGGGTGGTAGGAGCAGTGGCAGCTCCACCAGCAGCGGCTGCCTCAGTCTGCAGTCGATGATGAGTAGCTTTCTTCACCAGCGCAGTGAGGAAACTACTAACCAGCCGCAGCAGCAGCAGCATCAGGTGGACCTGGAGCAGGACCTCAAACAACAGGCTAAGGGCCTACTTGGACAGCACCCTGCCAACCGAGGTAGACAATCCCCTTGACTACTGGGCAATGAAACTTGACCTTTGGCCCCAACTAGCTGAATTTGCCCTTGAAAGGCTGTCATGCCCGGCCAGTAGCGTGGCATCGGAGCGCGTGTTTAGTGCGGCAGGAGGTATTGTAACTCGCGGAGGACACGACTGTCCACCCAAAGTGTGGAGAGACTCACGTTTGTGAAAATGAATCAGGCGTGGATTAGTCTGGATTTCAAACCAACAGTTCCTGACACAACTGACTAAATCCGCCATGAATCATGCCCCAAACATGTGCCACTTTCAGGTCTCCTCACACTGCTGGTGTGTTCCATTTTTTGTCATAGGGTGCTGGCAGATTACGGGCCTCCCATTGCTGCTGCCAGGCACGTAATCTGCCATGGGCCCCTGTACCGCCTCCTCATGCTGCTGCCAGGTCCAGAGTGTGTCATGGGTCCCTGTACGGCCTCCCATTGCTGCTGTCTCCATCGCCACACTCTGCCATGTGCCACTTTCAGGTCTCCTCACACACTGCTGGTGTGTTCCATTTTTTGTCATAGGGTGCTGGCAGATTACGGGCCTCCCATAGCTGCTGCCAGGCCCCTAATCTGCCATGGGCCCCTGTACCGCCTCCTCATGCTGCTGCCAGGTCCACAGTGTCTCATGCCATGTGTGCACTTTCAGGTCTCCTCACACTGCTGTTGTGTTTCCATTTTTTGTCATAGGGTGCTGGCAGATTACGGGCCTCCCATTGCTGCTGCCAGGCCCCTAATCTGCCATGGGCCCCTGTACCGCCTCCTCATGCTGCTGCCAGGTCCAGGTCTCTCATGGGTCCCTGTATGTGCTGCTGTCCCATCGCCACACTCTGCCATGTGCCACTTTCAGGTCTCCTCACACACTGCTGGTGTGTTCCATTTTTTGTCATAGGGTGCTGGCAGATTACGGGCCTCCCATAGCTGCTGCCAGGCCCCTAATCTGCCATGGGCCCCTGTACCGCCTCCTCATGCTGCTGCCAGGTCCACAGTGTCTCATGCCATGTGCCACTTTCAGGTCTCCTCACACACTGCTGGTGTGTTCCATTTTTTGTCATAGGGTGCTGGCAGATTACGGGCCTCCCGCTGCTGCCAGGCCCCTAATCTGCCATGGGTGCTGCACCGGGCCTCCTCATGCTGCTGCCAGGCCCGTAATCTGCCATGGGCCCCAGTACCGCCTCCTCATGCTGCTGCCAGTCCACAGTCTCTCATGGGTCCCTGTACGGCCCCCCATTGCTGCTGTCTCCATCGCCACACTCTGCCATGTGCCACTTTCAGGTCTCCTCACACTGCTGGTGTGTTACATTTTTTGTCATAGGGTGCTGGCAGATTACGGGCCTCCCATAGCTGCTGCCAGGCCCCTAATCTGCCATGGGCCCCTGTACCGCCTCCTCATGCTGCTGCCAGGTCCAGAGTCTCTCATGGGTCCCTGTATGGCCTCCCATTGCTGCTGTCTCCATCGCCACACTCTGCCATGTGCCACTTTCAGGTCTCCTCACACACTGCTGGTGTGTTCCATTTTTTGTCATAGGGTGCTGGCAGATTACGGGCCTCCCATTGCTGCTGCCAGGCCCGTAATCTGCCATGGGCCCCCGTACCGACTCCTCATGCTGCTGCCAGGCCCATAATCTGTCATGGGCCCCTGTTGTCGCTTGTTGGCATATTCCGCTCGTTCAGATGCTCCTTCTCCTGCTACTCCTCTTCACGGATTCCGTCAGCAGTCTTTCTTGGAATCCGTTTCCAAGAGACAACAGTTTGCGAGCACGCACCCGACGGTGCAGAAGCTGAACGTCCTCCTGTCCAAGTTGCTGCTGCCAGGCTCGTAATCTGTCATGCGCCCCTGTACCGCCTCCTCATGCTGCTGCCAGGTCCAGAGTGTGTCATGGGCCCCCGTACCGACTCCTCATGCTGCTGCCAGGCCCGTAATCTGTCATGGGCCCCTGTACCGCCTCCCCATGCTGCTGCCAGGTCCAGAGTGTGTCATGGGTCCCTGTACGGCCTCCCATTGCTGCTGCCAGGCCCGTAATCTGCCATGGGCCCCCGTACCAACTCCTCATGCTGCTGCCAGGCCCGTAATCTGTCATGGGCCCCTGTACCGCCTCCTCATGCTGCTGCCAGGTCCAGAGTGTGTCATGGGTCCCTGTACGGCCTCCCATTGCTGCTGTCTCCATCGCCACACTCTGCCATGTGCCACTTTCAGGTCTCCTCACACTGCTGGTGGTTTCCATTTTTGTCATAGGGTGCTGCATGGCCTCCCATTGCTGCTGCCTCCACCGCCACACTGTGGCTCCACACTCTGGTTTTGGCCCCGTGACTGCCCAAATGAGTGAAGTGTGCGGTGATTCTAAGATCGACGGCACTCATCTGCATGTCATACTGACTGTCAGTATTATTTCTCTTCCCCAGCAGACTCCAAGGGCATTTAAATTAAAGGTACAGTGTTCTGCACTAATATAAAGGCTCTCTGAAGCCT